ATAGCGACCATATAGGACAGAGTAGAACTGCCCCATAGAGTTTCCAAGGAGCGACTCATGGGTTCAAACTGCCAACCTTTCGGTTAGCAGCCAAGCTCTTAACGGCCGTGCCACCAGAGCTCCATCCTGCCATATAAATATGTTTAAATTAGAATTTTCACTTAAATTTCTTAGAAATGTGTTAATTCAGCAAATTTTTGTTTAGGTCCTCTAGGTAGGAACTATAACAAGTGATGGGGGTGTAATAGAATGCTAGATCAGACAAGTATTTAACCTTCATGGAGCTTACAGTCTATTTAAGAGGCAGTCTAATTAGAGGTAGTTGGTGCAGTGGTTAAGAACTTGTGCTCTGGAACCAGACTGCCTAGGTTCAGATCTCACTTCCACGTAGTAGTTGTGTGATCCTGGGCAAGTTAACTAGCCTTTCTGTGCCTCCATTCCTCATTTGTAAAATATGGGGAATGTTAGAGTACCTACCACATAAAGTTTTTGTTGGGATTAAATGTCATTTACTGAGTATATGTAAAGTGCTTAGAACAGTGCCTGGTACATAGTAAGATTGTATAGGTATTAGCTGCTCTATTATTAATAGGACCACCATTATTATTATTGTTATTAGTATTTTTTACAATTACAGTAATATAATTTACACTAATAAATACAAAATTTCAATTGTGGTCAGATTTAAACAGGGATACCCATTCTAATCTGGCAAATCAGAGACTACTTGACTGAGAAAGTGTACATAAACTGAAATCTGAAGTATTGATAGTGAAAGCAGATGGAGAAGAGCATTCCAGGTGAGGGACTAGCATATACAAAGGTCCTGTGGCAGGAGACAGCATGGCACATTTAGGAAAAAGATCAGTGTGGCTGGAGTGCAGTAGGGCAAAATGAGACTGGAGTGTTAAGCAGAGTTCAGTCCATGTTATATCTCATCCACCAAATTACAGAATTTGGCTTTTAACACTAAGAGCAGTGGAAAGCCAGTGGAGAGTTAGGTGTGTGGAGAGGTGTAGGAGTGGTGGATAGAGTGCGGTACTATCCTTGAAAAGATTACCTTGGCTGCAGCATTGCATACAGATTGTCTGAGAAAAAGTGTTTGCTTCATATCTTTGAAAACTGACATTTCCTGTTGTACAGTTTCTGTTAATATACAAAGCTCACTATATCTGTATGTGTGTAATATAAGCCAAACTTCTTGTTGTTCTTAGTTGCCATTGAGTCTTTTCCGACTCAGGGCGACCACTTGTGTGCAGAGTAGAACTGCTCCATAGGATTTTCAAGGCTGTGACCTTTCGGAAGCTAATCGCCAGGCTTGTCTTCCGAGGCACCTGTGGGTGGGTTTGAACCACCAGTCTTTCAACTACTAGTCGAGTGTTTAACTCTTT